TGGCTTCTGAACTCTTCTCATTCAAATTACTAGCGAAGGCTATGGCTGCCCAATTGTCAGGTACTCGTGGCAGCGTCATTCTTTCCCGTTGAAATCTATCTACGAACTCTCTAAGCAACTCTGAATCTCCTTGCTTGATTTTGAATATGTCTTCCATTCTTTTCTCAACTTTTTGAGCTCCAGAGTGTGCTTTGATAAATAAATCTGCAAGCTCAGCAAACGAATTTATAGAATTTTCAAGTAAAAGAGAATACCATGTTAAGGCCCCTTTGGTGAGTGTTTCACCGAATTTCTTGACCAAGACCGATTCAATCTCTTGCTTAGTCAAATCATTGCCCTTGACACTTGTTGTGAATGCAGTAACGTGATCTTGTGGATCTGATGTACCATCGTACTTTGGAATATCAGGCATCTTAAACTTTTTTGGAATTGGGGGGGGGGCACTTGGCTTCCATGGTTGTTGCGAATATTTATCTATATCTACTCCCTTGATCACAGGTGGTACTCCGGGTATTTGTTTTATGCGTTCATTTTGCTCATTAAGCTGTTTCTGCAAGGTTAGTACTAGATTTTGTAAATCAGAATTAACTGGATTACCTGGGTCTCCCTCTTGTGTTTCACTAGGGGTTCCACCGCTGCTTGAATTAACCAATCTAGAACGAGGATTCTCCAAAGTATTGTTGTTTGGAGTAGATGTGGGTGGAGCAGCAGGTAATTGACTAACAAAATCCTGAAGAGCTTTATTGACTTGAGAGGCAATAAGTTTTTGCAAAGCCTCATTCATGGTTTCAACATTTTCGAATTGAGCCTGTCCATTTGTGTGAGATCCATCAGGAGTGCCTTCGCGAGACCGTCGTGGGGAACCTCGTGGAGAGCCTTGTGGAGAGCCTCGTGGAGAATCTCCCTGAAGTTGTTGGATTATTTGAATTTCTGGGTTTCCTTGAGTGTTGATATTGTTGTTTGACATGATTGATGCAATCAAGAAAATCAGGTTGAAGTATAATTGATTATCAGATTCCCGGTAACGGAACCAATTTGTTTAACCAAAAAATAGGTTTTTAGTCAAAGCTAGAAATTAGAAGAATCGGGTTACTGATAATCGAAAAAGTAAATAAAGAAAGAAATTTTAGAATAGCCAAGTATGAAAGCTGGTAAATCAAAGTATATTTCAATAGTCACTTGTCCCTCTCGTGATTACATATTTCTCCTTTTATAGGTCCCTTTGGGAATTTTTGGAGATGCACGTTATGCCTAAGCCATAATGAGGCTATTATGAGTAATTAATAACATTAAATGCTACGTTACATAATCATTACATGAATGTATATATTCCTTAACGGCCCCAGCATTTAATACCCTTTAAATGCCGCATTTGCATCTTTTTCTTTAACCAGGTTCATTCGTCTTATTGTTCGTATGTAAATAAGCTTAAATAGGAACGAGGCGCTGAATCTCTCGTCTCGTGCCTCTTTTTACCCGTACCTGTTTGTAACTCTTGAACCGTGGCAAATCACAACTCATTATCCATTCCACGTGTCAGGACACGTCATCATGTATATATGAATACAAATTTTCCCTAATAGAGTAGGCATGGAGACAAAATTGCAATTATAACCGTTAATTAAACGTAAGATAAATTAATACTACTAGTTAGTAAAGATAATGGCAAATCTAATGAAAGGAAAAGTAATTTGCTTCTAGTAAAATTTTGGTCAGAGAATAAGTAAGAAAGAATAATTAGTAAAGACAATGGTAAATCTAGTAAAATTTTGAATTAAACAATTTGCTACTTTTTAATTTCGAAAGGGAAATATGAATCTGGTAAAACCATTGGAGAGGAGAACAGAGATAGGAGAAGGACAAAAAGAAAAGCAAGCGAGGCAGATTGTCCTTTTATAAATAGAAAGAGAAAAAAAAAAAAAAAAAGAAAGTGGACACAACTCTCTCTTCTCTTTTATTTTATTTTCTCTATTAGTTTTTCTTTGTTGGGTTTTACGTAAAGATAATAAATTAATTGAGGGTAAAATTGTCAGGAAAGTGGACCTGCAAATTGTAATTGCATCTTGTGTCAGTTCTATTCCACAGTCACATTTCCCTATGAAACGTATACTTTCTATTTAATTATAGGTAAATCAGAATCTAATGTCTTCTTAATCCTCCCAAAATTTTCCACCGCATTGTCTCATGCAAATTGCAAACCACCTGTTATCCCCCGAGAGCTGCAAAGGAGAATACTAAAAAGGAAAGAATACTAGCGAATTTAAGGTTTGAACTTCATAAGTTAAATATATAAATTATTACTCCTTTCGTTATCATTTATGTGATGTTTTAATCTATGTTAAAAAATGATGATTTTATTTCAAAAATAATACTATAACATTAAATTCTCGTTCGTATAATTTATAGTTACATAAGTATCTGTAAATATTCTAGACCACAAATTTTACAAAATTCTCTCTTTCTTAAACTTTAACTGCGTAACAAGTCAAATAAAATTAATTTAATGAAACGAAAAGGAATAATAACTTTAGTATTAACTCATTTGCTTTATAAAGTCATAAATTTGATATTTGACGAAATTTTACAAATATTTTACATATGTATTGTATTTAATATTCCTTTTATCTCAATTTATGTGACACTTTTCTCGATATTTTAACTATTGGATTGAGCCAATCTAATTTACTTTCAAAAATTGATCAAATTGAGAAACAAAATGTACCACATAAAGTCTGACTTCACTTTTTTTTTTCTTTTAACATAATATGCAGCACTAGAAAGGGAGTCTTAGCGTACAATAGACCTTTGTAGTTCGGACTTTTTTGTGGACGGGCTGCTTTCTTTTTTATTTTATTTTATGCAACACTAGTTTCCTACTTCACTTGAGTTCACCAACAAAGGCTCGATCCGTTTCTTGTGAGAGAGATAACTTCTAACCAACATGGTTTCAAAACGTCAATAGGAGTTCCATTTCCAAAAGCGCAATATTACATGCCTTTTGTAACATGATTAATTGAATGGGAAAACAATAAAGAGAGACGATAAAAATGAGTAAAAACTAAAAAGTCTCAAGATTACTATCGTCGTTAATCCTTAGCCATAAGTGACCCCGTAACCGATGCCTTTGCATTTATCATTCTCCATTTTTGCAATTGCACTCCTTTCTTGCTCTTATCATCTCATTCATGAACCCCCTCCCCCCCACCCCACCCCAACCCCACACACACCACCACCACCACCTTCGAAATTAAAACCAAGTTTCCATGTAAATTGACTCGTGTCCGTTGAAATTTCAATATTACCAGACTGCCCATCATTCCTCAAACAGGTCATGCTTTGCAAGATTTCATGCATGTGACAACACTATGTCTTATTTGGTAAATAGCAAAACATCCTCAATAGAGCATTTTGGTTCACCTTATTAGGATTATAAAAAATTTGGCACTCTGTCCAACAACTATTGCCTCTGTACAAATCCAAATTTATGTTGTTGTTTTGTTCTTGCTCTTGTTCCTCCCCCCATTCTCTCACTCATCCCTCTTTTCCCTTTACACTGCATTTTTACTGACCAGAGGCTAAGTGAAAAGATCAGCGATAGAATTAAAGAAGCAAATTTAATTTTCTTTGTTTTGGGTGTCTCAGGTAAAGATTCAGTATTTGATCGGTCAGAGTTAAAAAAAAAAAAAGAGTAACAGGAAGAGTACTTTTTATTTATTTTAATTATTCTTTTTGGTCTGAAATTGGTGTGTCAGTCATTGGAGTACAACACACATGGAACATGGTTGATAAATCAAGAAAGGAGAAAAAAGGTTAAAGTGAGGCTTAGCTTAGCTAGCTTTGGTTTGCTCTCTTTTGATTTTAGTTTTGTTTGGAAGAGAAGAACAGTAAGATCAAAAAAATGGGTTGCTGGTATTCAAGATTAGAGAGAGAAGAGTTGGTTTCGAGATGCAAAGCTCGAAAGAGGTACATGAAACAGTTAGTGAAATCCAGACAAGCTTTTTCTGCTTCTCACTCTATGTACTTACGTTCACTTCGAAACACTGGCTCTGCTTTGCTTCAGTTCGCTACCGGAGAAACCGATCTCCACCCGCAAAACCACCACCTTCCTCCACTTCCGCCATCACCACCACCACAGCGACGACTCGTCACCCCACCACCACCGCCGCCGCCACCAATGAGCCCCACATCCTGGACTACCTCCACCACCACATCCTCTGCCCTCCCACCACCCCCTCCTCCGCCGCCTCCGGCGGCGTCGAACTGGGATTTCTGGGACCCATTTGTGCCTCCTCCGTCATCTTCGAGGTCGGTGACGGAGGAGGAATGGGAGGAGACAACTGTTGCGTCCGAGGTGGCGGTGACAACCACGGTTGGGGCGGCGAGCGTGGCGGCTCCGCCATCAGTGGTGAGTCAGTTTTCTAAAGAGACCACAACTACGAGTGAGCTGGCGGTGGTAGTCTCTACGAAGGGTAAAGACTTGGTAGAGATCATAAAAGAGCTTGATGAGTACTTTTTGAATGCGGCAGATGCAGGTGGTCAACTCTCATTGCTTTTGGAAGTTCCCAATTGTGCTTTTTCCGACCAAAGATCTTCAGGTATGTAACGTTTTAATTGCATGTAAATATGCACATGTACACATATAACAACACATGCTACAACATATTAAAGCACTATGTAAAAACTGGTTCTTGTGGTTTAAATTGTAGAAAAGTTGAGTCCATTTTCATGGACATTTGGAGGAAGTTCAAGATGGAATGGAATTGGAAGATTTTGTGATGATCCAATGAACAAAACTAGCAATACGGTAAATGGTGCCAAAGCTTCCCATTGTTCCACAGTAGAGAGATTATATGCTTGGGAGAAGAAACTCTACCTAGAGGTCAAGGTAAACAACACCTAAATTTCCATCTTCTTTATACAAAATTTCAGGATCCTAGGTCACGGTTCGAGCCATCATCAAATCAGCCATTGATACTTGCACTACGATAGACTGCCTACATCACAACCCTTGGAATGCGACCCTTCCCGGACCCAACGTGGCATGCTTTGTGTAGCGAGCTATTTTTTTTAATTACCCAATTATAGATTTTGTTGTTTTACATATATTTTATTTTATTTTTTATGCTCTGATGCTATAATTTTGGTTGTGATTTGTAGCATGCTGAGGCATTGAAATTGGAGCATGAGAAAAGGGCAGGTCACGCGAGGAAGCTAGAGATGAAGAGGGCTGATTACGTAAAGACAGAGAAAGCGAAGAAGGAAGTAGAGAAGTTGGAATCACAAATGATGGTTGCATCCCAAGCTATTGAGACTACATCAGCTGAAATCATCAAATTAAGGGAATCGGAGCTCTATCCTCAACTTGTTGATCTGGTCAAAGGGTTAGTCCTTCTCACCCCCTTTTGTCTACAACAACGACGATGACGACCCTGTATAGTCCCACAAGTGGGGTCTTAGGGAGGGTAGTGTGTAGGCAGACCTTACCTATACCCGATGGGGTAGTGTCTCTCGTAGAAAAATTGAAAGTACATTTCTTTTAAGTATATCTAACCGTTCCATGAGAAGTTGAATTAGCATATTAGAATGTAAGGCATATTTGCTGATACAACATATTATAATACCTTTAAATTCTCAGGTAAGTTAAAATGAGTAAAGAGATTTTTTTTTTCTGGCGGGGGAGGGGGGGGGGGGGTCGAAAGTCAGCTCTAGGAATTTGTACAGAGATATTTCTGAAAAGCAACGAATGGCTCTCCGTACAATTAAAGCTTTTGACTCCTTTAACTGATTCGGTCCATGTCTTTGATTTGCCTTTTTACCACCTAAAAATATACGAAAGCAGCATATAACAGACTGCTGTACTGTAAAAAATCGTGAATAGATGGGGGGGAGACCAACTTCGATCAATTCTTTTTTCTTCTGGTTTTTATTTCTTTCAATTAAAAAGCACTTGGTATTCAAGATTAAATTTTTCTTAGGAGTGAGGCTGCACTTTCAATCCCTAGGACAGATTTGACTATTTCAAGATTTTCATCATTCCAAGTTATGTCACTGGATCACCTATATTAGCCAATGGTTCAGAGTTACTAGTATTAATTGAGTCATAGTAATTCCTAAGTACCTTTTGCTTTTAATGTCAAGATCAGACCATGTGCTCTTTAATTATTTCTTTATTTTTTGGGGAAAGTACTCTTTAGTGAGACTTTCATTTACTAAGAGCTCCCTTTTAAATTTTCAAAGTGGTCTACAATTGACTGAAATTTAGGTTATCTTCCCTGTTTCTTTTCCTTTCTATTTTTTTTTTTTGTGGGTGGGTGGGGGGGGGGGGGGGGTTTCAAAATAGAAGTTAGAGACGGTACATAACTAAAAACATACTGTAAAGAGACTAGCACCTTGTGAGGAAGGATGGGTTAATTCTGTCACAATTTAGAAAAACCTTTTTTCGAGCTTCATCAAAAAGGAAAATATCGCAAAAATCGTTTAAACTTTACCTTCTCTGTTTTGTCTTCCCTCTCCTTATTGTTTGTGGTTTGCAGATTGATGTACATGTGGAGAAGCATGTACGAGTGCCATCACGTTCAAACACACATAGTTCAGCAGCTGAAGTATCTCAATACCGTGCCATCAACTTATCCTACCTCTGAGATTCATCGACAATCAACACTACAACTTGAACTTGAACTGGAACAATGGCACCTATCATTTTGCAACCTAGTGAAATCTCACAGGGAGTATGTTCAGTCCCTTACCGGCTGGCTCCGTCTTAGCCTCTTCCAACTTGGAAATAATCCAGTACAGAAGACGAGCCAGGACAATGAAGTTTACTCCCTTTGTGAAGAGTGGCATCTTGCAGTTAACAATGCTCCCGATAAAGTAGCATCGGAAGGAATCAACAGTCTACTAACTGTTATCCATGCCATGGTGGTGCAGCAGGCAGAAGAGCTCAAGCAAAAGAAGAAATCAGAGATGGCATTCAAAGAGCTTGAAAAGAAGGCTTCTGAGCTTCGGTCATTAGAGTCCAAGTATGGCCCGTATTCTATACCTGATTCCTCTAGCAGTACGAGTAGCAAGAACCCTGTGACTGAGAAACGAGCTAAGGTGGAGGTGCTAAGAGCGAAAGCTGAGGACGAGAAGGCCAAGTATGACAAAGCAGTGAGTGTAACAAGGGCAATGACATTGAACAATCTACAGATGGGTTTGCCTCATGTTTTTCAGGCTGTGACGGGTTTTGCCAATGTGTGGACACATGCATTTGAGTCAGTATATAATCAAGCTAAAAATACTGATCAGGTGCATGATTTGAAGAGGATTTTACCTTGAGATACAGAGCAGCTTCCTTGTGGTCCAGGCAGCCTGCAGAAAAAATGTATATATGTGTTCTTGAAACTTGTTTCCCCTCCTGCAGCCTTGAGGGTTTCTTAGTATGTGCTATAATGTATAGGGAAACTCAGGAATGCAGATTTTCTTGAGAGCGAGCAAAAGAGATGATTTTGGTTTAAGCAATCTCTGACAGTGTAAGTATGGCTGCCGATGGAGGTAGATGATATAGGTTGCTAGCCTTTGGCATTAGAGGATGTTAGGATTTTTGAAGTATGTATTAGCTTTGCTCAGGAAACAGTTGGTGTTTTTCATTTTTCGTTTTGGATTGGATGTTGGGGAAAGTAGTTTTGCGGAAATTGCATTTATATGTAGTTCTGTGTTGCTTTCGATCGTGTACTCACTGGTTTTACTTGTTACTTTTAAGTCTTAAACGACTGCGAGGCCTGGTAATTTCTACGCTTGAATTTTCCCTTTACCGCAGGTCTTTTACCAGCTTTGGGATTATAATCCACCCTCATACAAGTTAAATACAGGGTACCGAGAATATTGGTTCCTCGACAAGAACAAGTTAGATGCATATTTGAAGAATTGTACTATAAGTGAACGTATTCTAGTAACTACACAAGGTCACCAAACAAACAAACAAACAAGTTGTGCCAATATCTGTTTCGCTCCTATTAAAGTTCCACAGGGAAGTGCATATGCTATACTTGATTGAAACACAGCTCCGAGAAAATGGAATACGTGAATTTTTTCAAAAAGTGATTGCTAGTTCTGATCAAGTAACCTTGTTTTCCTTGATGGATATTCTTCACCTTAAATGTAAAGTGATAAGCTAGTACACTAGATCCAAGTCGCGCACATTTCGTTGTATCTTCCTCAAATTTTAAAACGGAAGTCTTTACTCGCATTTTCCTACAATGTTCAAATAGTATGAACTTAGCTGTACATTTTGGAAAATTACACCATTTCAGCTATGCACAAAATTTACAGGTGAAATATAGCCCCCGCATTGACCAAATATTGAATGCACTGCTTCCAATTACCAATCTTCTATTTCATCGTCCGACATATCCAGCTTCTTCTCATGAAAACAGGTGCTACCCGAGTCATCTTCAACCATGTCGTCTGCTTGGAAACTTTCAGATGCTCGGCAACCAAGCCATTTCAGGGCAGGTCTATACTCGGTTGCCATAACTATCTGATTCGACAATGTTAGGCTATTACACACGTCACCCCTCTGACTTAACATTTGACACTGCAAGCACACCAATTTGGTAAGGATGAAATCAAGTCCAAATCAGTGGACTAGAGGTCAATTAGAACACTAAGAAATTATAGTAGTGCTTCCTAAGCCACTCCTTAAGTGAGGAACATTATATTTAAGGACTTGATCTGGACTAATCCATGCGCTAAGAATTATATCAGCAAGATCAAGAGCAAGGTGCAAAGGACGTGCTAGCAAGAAACTTACCTTATTGCGGCGCAATGATTGTTCAACCTCCCACAGTTTTGGACGTCGAATAGCATGCCACCTGATTTCTCACATGAATTTATGGTAAATGATTTTAGCTACTTCATATAAAAAAATATAAACGGGTAACGTCTTTATACCTGGAAGGCACTGGATGAGCATTCCCAAATAATACTCCTCTGGCAGCAACTGAAGCAGCAGCTGACTGTACAATGTTCTCAGCTCCAAAGTCTCTGGTTAGAAGTCCATTAAGTGAAGATAGAAGAAACTCAGCATCGCTTAAATATGAGGCCACAAGCCATGCGTCATCTATTGCTTCCTCATTCAAAAAGTCTAAAACTGCAATAAGATTGATAATCAGAAGTTGAAAAAGACAAATACAAGGACCGTTTATCAGATGCATCAGCTAAGCTTCTATTGAAGTAATTCTTCAGAAAATGCAAGCTTAGTCTATGCACAGATATGATAACTACCAGTCCTTTTTTATCCCGTATCATGAGAAACCGTTGTTTCTCCTCTAATCTAGGTAAGAATTTCAAAAAACACATGCTATCTCAACATTCAGTTTGCTGGCAAAATCCAACACAAAGGGATGCAGAACAAAATAGACCAAAAGAAGTTCAAGTCATTGGGTCTTGTGCTGAACCTAGTGCTGTTTCTGATATAGCTCACATACAAATCAGTTATGCACAAAATGGCAGATTTTGGTGCTAGAAACCCCCCCCCCCCTTTGCTAGTAAACCCCCCCCCCCCCAAACGGGGGGGGGGGCTGGGTAAAAATCAAATAATATGACCATATTAGTCGAAAAAACCATACACCGGAAGAACAAGAATTACCATTTTCATGTAGAAAATCAGAAAGAGTCCTCGCTTGCCCATGTGCTTGACAAAGTACAACTTCTGGAGCATCCATTTTAAGAGGAAATCTCACAAATTTTTCCTTCAGAATAAATGCATCTCTATCTACAAGAAAATGAGTCTGTATCAGAGGCTTTAGAGACAGTTCTCTCAATTATCCACCTTCATTCCATTGGCTGACTCTCATATCTTACTCCAAAGGGCATAAGATAACATGGTCAAAGATGAGCTATAGCCTTGTAGTAGAAAAAAATCTCACATACCAGTCATCTACATAAGAAGGTCAAAAGGTTAATTTCTATATTCCTCCAATCACTCCTTAGATAATCACCTATTTTCATATCAGCCATTCTTAACCAGTGATTATTATTACATCTCAGGGAATCAGCTTTACAACTTTATTTAAACAGTGTATTACTTGAAATGAAGAAACTCTCCCAAGATACAGTATTGCTCGTGTGGATTAGACATAACAACCCAAGATTGTAAGATTAGAGCATTCAAACAAATGCTAAAATGTGCATTTACCAGGAGGACGCATACTTGCAAAGGAGGAGAAATTCATCGCTGCTGTAGAATAGGTATGGCAGCAATAGTTACTAAGTTCTGTAAGCACTTGCGACTCACTTTATCCCAACAATGAAGTTTAAACAGATGTACCTGATGCAGTTGCGAGCTCATTTTCTCTTTTGTTGTGTAGAAATTTGCCTAATGCATGGAATAGAGAGAGAGTTTCATCTTTTCCAAATGGCAAAGAAAACGCATCATCCAAACAAATACTACTGTCCGGTCTTTCTTTTAAAGGTAGAATAGGCCTTCTATGTGGGTTAAGACAGAGATACTGCAGAGAAGTAATTGCATGTCTGATGTCACCTCCACTCGATTTTGCTATTAGCTCAATCGTATCAGCACTAACTTCACGCTGCTCCTTTCTGCATATAGTTGTAAGTGTTTTCTTGATCGAGTTGATAGTGACAGGGTTGAAGTTGACCTGAAAAGCATGAACTCAACTCAGAAAAAAGTTGGCATACTCCAGTAACATAGAATCTTATGTTGAATAACTACATCTCCCTCTGGCCTGCAGGCTATGGGTAAAATTGCAGGTCAAATAGCTTAAAGTTAGACAAGGAAGCTGCTTGGTTTGTTTTCATACTCATAGGGGGAGGGGATTGACATTTGATTCAAGATATACGGATGAAAAGAGTTCATAATGCAAAGTAAGTCTGTCAAGGAATGCAACCTTACAAGCACCAGCATTATGAAGAGACACAAGGAGTTCTTCCCAGCAGCGTGTGCTAAAGTCTGCAGAGTCATCCTTGTCATAGTTGGTGATCACTACAGCTGTTGGAATGCGGACTAATTGCACAAGAAGCTTCAAACACTTTTGAAGCTTTCCATATGCAACTCTTCCATTTACCACCGGAAGATCATCAACTAAGAGTATGACTGAAGCCTGTGATCCCTTCAAGGTTGGAGAAGTCAATCCATACTTTCTCACCCTTTCAACAAAACCTTCAAACTCATCCAGCTTTGACATGTATTGTAACCCTAGGCCAACATAAAACGAAATAAAGAATGATAATTTGATCAAACTAATTTTCTGAACATGCACTTGATGGCTTGGAGCAGATCCGTTTTCCATGAATTAAAACATGAATATGTACCTGAATTAGCATTATACAAATGTTCTGACCAAACTGTTGGAGCAGGCGTGTTCCATTCCCATATTGTAGCACCAAGATGTGAAGCAATAGCATATATAGTTGCCTAGACAATGATAAGTACCCAATGATCATGCATGGTTATGACCTCAAAGGAGTAAGACAAAATTCAAACATGGCACTCTTGATCCAGAATTCACAAGAAGACTAAATTGTCACATCTCTCATGTTTAAATTCAATAAATGGTAAAGAAAAAAGTGGCATACAGTTTTTCCAACACCAGAAGGTCCAGCAACAAGAAGGACATTATTATGATCATCCTGCATCAAGGAGAGGAAAAATTTCAGTTCGGACAATGTAAATTCTGAAGACTGCAGAAAACACTTGTCATATTTCAAAAAATACAGTAAACATATGCACTTGGAAAGACTAATTTGGCCAAACACCTAAATTTTGGCAAAAAAGCACTTTTGGCCAAAAAAGAAGCTTGGTTGTTTGGCCAAGCTTTTAAAATCTACTTATTTTGAAAAGTGCTTTTTAAAAAAGTACTTTTGGTAAGAAGTAGATTGTGTTTGGCTAATTAGTATGAAAAGCACTTTTGAGCAACAATTAGTGTTTGGCCAAACTTTTAAAAAGTGCTTCTAAGTGTATTTTTCTCAAAAGTGTTTCCAGAAAAATGCTTTTGGAGAGAAGCTACTTTTTCTGCTGCTCCAAAACTGCTTCTGCTTCTACTCAAAAGCACTTTTTTTTCTTCAAAAAGCTTGGCCAAACACCTTAATTTTGGCAAAAAAACACTTTTGACTAAAAAAAAGAAGCTTGGCCAAACATGCTATAAAACCTCAAATTATGGATACTAAACGCCAGGGCTTGGGATTACCAACAATTGTTTTTTCTAAAAGAAGTCACCAACAATTTTTTTTTTTTTTTTTTTTGAGAATGAGAAGTCACCAACAATACCATATTACAATTTCCTGGATCAAACTTTTTTTTTCCTTTAAACACCTTAACTGCTTACTTTTTCCACTTCAACATCTAAACAATTACCAAGGCATGCACAACCCTTATTTATTTTGGGAACAAGCAGGCGCAAACTTGAAACAAAAGTATATTCCCAAACTGCTAAATTACCCTCTAGCATGATAACCAAGAGACAACCTGATGTCCATAATTGTGAAGTCCCAAGTGCCCCTTCCCCCATAATTTCAAGGCAACATATTGCAAACAGGAAAACAAGAAAAGAGGCTTTATTATGAGAATGTGTATGCTTAATCTCTCTTCTCACTGTTCTATGTGAGCACCGACAAACACCTCTTTTCCAAGGAAGCATAATAAGGCAACACGCCCAAAAGGTGTGTAAGCTAATAGACTATGCACCAAACTTACGTAAGACAACATAACGATTGATGGTTATAAAACAGGACGAGATAGACCGAATATCACATGAGCTATGTTGCTCGGAATCTCCGAAAATGTGGCTGGGTGCGTGTCGGATCCTCCAAAAGAAGTGCATTTTTGAAGGATCCGACACGGGTGCGGCAGCATTTTGGAGAGTCCACGCAACATAGCACATGAGTAAAGGCACAAAAGACCTACAATCTCTCGGAGTTAGTGCAGACATAGCTAAGAGCAGAACATAATTGAAGCAAAGGATTCATATAGGTGATACCAACTCTGGGATTAAAGCTTAGTTGTTCTTATTGCACTATTATATCTGACGTTTGTCAAGAGTCTTTAAGTCTGGTTAAAGACATGTATGCCAAGGATAAGCGTAAGATTTAGAGAACCTCTAGTTCTAGGAGAACCTTACTTTGAAAGAAAAATTATTAAGCATGTGAATGAAATGGAGCTGAGTAAAGCCAAATGGAAACTAATATGGCTTTAAGTACCATTGCAGCATGTAGTCTTTCTTCAAACCATATTTTCACTTCTTCGACCTGCAAAGTCCATCACAGGGAACCATTACTAAAAGCTTCACATCTGAGAAAATTAAGAAAAAGTACATACAGCTCTATACCTTCTTCTTGTGAACTGCAAGCTCTTTCAGGAAATGAGGCTTATGTTTGTCAACCCACATGGCATTGTTGCTTTGAAGACCTGATTCAGTTTTATACAATTTAGTATTTTGGCAACCATGAGTAACTGAAGACGAAGAGATTGGGAGGGCAGTGGAAATAAATACTTTTATGGAGGAGACATGTAATAGTGTGCAGTATGTTCAAATTAAACAATTAAAACATCACAAAATCAGGAGGAGTAGAGAGATGATCTTTCACTGTAGATGCAGGCCAATAAGCATTTACCAACTGAATCATCAATAGGTGGTGTATGGAGCTTGCATACCCAGATGAAACTTACGTCCTAGTTTTGCTCCAAAATCTTAATGTGTAAAATACAATATCTGGCACCCCAAAAGTGAAGAACAAATACAAGATAGAGCAACAAATATTCTAAACAGGAGCATCTTAGGTAATATTTCCATTCGACGTTTGGTGAGGAATAGTACTGTTAAGTCGACAGACCATAGCATCATGAGCAAGACTATAATATATCAACTGAAGCCTGCACTGCATGCAAAAGCTAATGGATGTAGTCTGCAAAATGAATTGATAAAACTAGGACACCCAACTTCAGCACAACATTTTAATGAGATCAAATGATGATCCCATGGACGTAAAAGAAATGTGCAAAAATTGCTAATTCTTTTGATATGTAAATAAGGAATGTAGTTTATGAGATACTAATGTTTATAATGACAAAAACACTGCCATCTAACATGGGTCAGAAGCCTAGAATAAATGGAGAGGCAATATTGATCCCAGTTTATTCTTGAAATTAATATAAATAAGTACTATAACCAAATATTTTGAAACTAGCATACCAGCAGATACCTTGATGCCTGTGATATTATCATCAAACTCCTCACAAAACCGTTTCATCTGCATTCAGTTATATCATACGTCATTAATGTTCTGAGGTATACAAAAGCAAAAACTAGCAGAACAGTGCTTTTGTTTGGCTGCATAAGAAAATTAATCCCTGAATGACTAATGCAACATTTGTTTGTGGCTGCATAAGAAAATTAATCTCTGCATGACTAATGCAACATCTTTTTTAGCAGCTTAAGAAAAAATAGTTTCCAGCTAATTAATGTAGTTTTGTTGGCAGTAGTTAACCCATCATAACTTTATGAAGGAATTTATATTATTTATGGAAGAGAGAATGTAAATGAGAATATGTGTATATATGCAGATAAAAGTATTGATTATCAAAATTCCAACATCAAAATTCATACAAGACCAGTACGTGAACCAAACGACCACTAAAGATAAAAAAGTCTTCATAAAGGCTAATTGATTATCATTTGCCGCAATCAGACAGTAAGAAACAAAAAGGCTGTGTGGAATATTAACCTGATAATCCTTTACCTGTCAATCTTTATCAGTTTCACAATGAATTGAGCTTTTAATGTGATAAGATTAGTCCGCATTTTTGAACTATAAACAAGAGGGGAATTTAGAGTTTTAGCCAGCGAGTACAGAATACCACTGCACCTACTACTGCTTCGTGGCAATTGAGATTGAACTTAAGTTAAAGATATATTTTTCGAAATACCTTAACTAATACATGCATGGATCAAACAGAAATCAGCGGATGCACCTGCACCAACTGCCTTTACTATACATCTGCCACTGCTATAGACCAAGCTTCGTTTCCCGTTTATACAACTCACGTTCACTCAAATGCAACAGCATAGGGAAATAGTAGCATTTGGTAACAAGATATTACAAGTTATTAAGTCCAACGAATCCGAAGTTTTACCTCATCGAAGCCACTAGCCTCTTTAGATGAGCGTGGACATGACGCCGAAAGAAGCGCCGTTTTAGCCCTTTTAGGGTTCTTCCTCGGAACTGATGCCGATTTCGATTTTGATTTTGATTTCGAGTGGGTGAAATTCGAATTCAATGAGAAGTGTTCATCATCATCAGATGATGAAATCACAATGGCCGCGTTCCTTTTAGCTTTCTTCATTACCACAGGAAGGGTTAACTATTTTCTTTTTCTTTTCAGAATACTAAAAACTTTGAAGGTTCGAAGGCAGTGAATTTGAGCGAGTACGGTGAGGATTCGACGAGAATGGGATTATTGAAACCCTAGACAAAACTGAGACAAATGCATAACTCTAGACTGCAATGGGAAACTCTTCCACTAGAAATTGGTTGTTTTCGAAAGCAAAAACGCGGGTGTTTTTCAGAGCAAAACCCGCTAGCTTACTTGAGAAGCTGATACCCCGCTCCTTATAGTCTGGCAGAGCAAACAGTAAAACGTTTTGTAGTTTCTGAAAACTAAAGGGGTGTTCTTTTTATGCAAATGAACTTTAGGGGGCACAAATTGTCATCTTGGTATCTTTACACAAATAGTCATCTATATTCATTGTTTAATTTACCTAGCCATAAACATAGATTATGCACGATTATACACATAAAATGCACTTCTATTTTTTTAATGGTAAGAGATATTTGGTAACAAGTTTTAGTACGTAGAACTATTAGATTTCTACTTTTTCGTCTTTTAATGGTTAAATATCTTCTCCCAAATAAATTTCAACGTGGATTTCTGAAAGTAAATATATTCACTCGTTTTAAGAGCATGTACGAATCAACATAATTAATTTCATATAAGCATGGTCAATGATTAGAGTTAAATGGATTTAAAATTTTAGCTACGAACATGTTTTAACGTCTAAATGAAATATCATGAAATTGAAGACTGAAAGCAAAAATAGATACAAGCATAAGTGTTTATTTGATTATTCAGCCCTTTCTTAATTAATGGCCAGGGGTATTCACAACGAACTTTAGTAGGTATAACTATTTAGATTTCTAATATTTGTTCATTTTAATGGTTGCCTATATTCCTCCGTATAAATTTCAGTGAGTTAATTCCTTGTATGGTGACCCAAGTTTTGGAAATTGCCTACAAAAATTTTGGTTTCTTTCAATATAATAAAATCACTCTACTATCACTGTTTTTCACGAAAAATAATAAACACCTCAAAAAGCCCCCTTCTCTCCCAGTAGGTATGTCATGTCATTAAAGCCCCTGTTTTTTAATAATATACATATTTAACTCATCAACCCCATTAAACCAAACCAGTATTTTATACACAATACAAAAAAAGCTCAAATATACTCTTGTACTATCCAGAAAAGTTTAAATGTATCCGTTATTATACTTTGAGTCCATATATGACCTTGTTGTTATACTATTGGTTCAAAAATACCCATTTTCCATTAAGTTTGTCCAAGGTGGACATCCAATCCTATGTGGCACTGACATTTGATGAGGTGGATGCTTCATGGCTTGCCACCTCAGCGCCCCTAACCCATTTTATCCCTCCCTTTTATTTCTTTTTTTTACCACTAAAATTTGCTTCCCCTCCACCACTATTGCCACCATTATCGCTACCATGAAAAATATTGTATTTCAAATTTTAGTCTTTTATATATGGATTAGGGGCGTTGGGATGGCATGTCATATGGCATCCACCTCATCAAATATCAGTGTCACGTAGGATTGGATGTCCACCTTAGATAAACTTAACAGAATAAGGGTATTTGAACTAATAGTATTATGACATGGATATATTTGGACTCAAAATATAATAAAGAATATATTTAAACATTTTCTCATAACACAGAGATATATTTAGCTGTTTGTCGAATCAAATATGACGGGGTTGAAGAGCGACAAAGGAATCAAAACGTACTTTTTATTAAGCCACTTTTTCAAATCTAAGATTTTTTATCTCATTCAAATATATTTTCTTTCAATTTAAATTAAAATTCAAGTATTTTTATCTTTCTATTCAAATTTAAATCTTTTTATTCTTTTTCACATTTAAACAACATATTCTTTCCACATTAAAATGGTATACACAGATGACACAAAGATTCTTTCGTATAGAATTTTTTCTTCTTTTTTTTTTTGGATTTTTGTGTAAGACCATGAGTGGTCTTTGTAAATACTTTTGTATATATGAAAGATCCTTTTCTTTTCGATTTGTCTATGATTTTTGTTTCGTGAAAACTTTGTTTTGCTTTCGTCTTATGATGATTCTGATATACTTTAGGTCTTGTGAGAAATTTGACTCACTTCGTTGCCTTGTGGAAATTTTATTGAAATCGGATTACTATAATTTTTATAGTCGAGTGGGTACTTGCTCGAACTCGGGGTAGTAAAAATCCTTGGTTTGGTTAAGTGAGGGCGAGTCCTCGAGCTCAACAATGTTATGGCCCTTAGGCTCTCGAATCAAGCCGATATGGCCTCAAAAGAGTGGTTTTTTCCCTTTTTCGGCTTAAAAGTTTAATCATATAAAATTTTGTTATGCCTTAGCATGAGATAGATTTGTACCCTTCAGGATTCAGTGTTATCGAAAAACTTTGTTATGCCTTAGCATAAGTTTGTTCAATTTGGTACGTCTTAAGGTTTTCTCGGGTCGATGTTATCGGAACCTTATGTAAATTTGCCGAGGGTAGCCTTTTTTTAAACCGGTTTTATGAAAATATTTGGAGGCTTGTTTGATTACGGCATTTGGACGTTCCGAGCCGTGTTAGTTTGACCGTAGCCTTTAACTTGATATTTGTCCATTGGGCTTGTTTCTCGATTATACTTCAAACTTGTTCAAAGTATCAATCCCCGAGTGGGGTGGCCGTGGCCTATAAAATCGAGGATTGCCTTTTTAAGGTCTTAAGATTTCGAAGTTTAACCATTCGAGCATGTCGCTTTTCGAACGACAGTCCCCGAGTATGGGGTTAATTGCTCGAGCTTTAGTTGCGATTGGCTCTTGAGCCGGTTTCCGTAAAATATCGTAAGTACGAAATTGTAAAGCAGAAATTTCGCTAAGGCATGGAAAATCTGATAAGGAAAAGGTACTTCTTTCAATAGATCATTCATGCGTACATGTTTTGTCATTAGGGCTCGGGCAATCTACATGGGCATGGTTCACTTGATTGTTTGGCCCTTTACAGAATTTTCCTATTGAGACCCTATTGACACGAAGCATCTTCCTTGAAAATATAACATCCGAGGGTGATGCCCTCTATTATTTGAGGCTGATTGCAAAGAAGCCTCGGATATTGTTGAATTGTCCCCAGGTAGAACAGATAATTGTTGCCTCGTTAAAAACCTCGCCGGGAAAATCCATTTGGGACAAAAACTGATCTAAGGGAAAAAGAGTGCAACGCATGCTTTAAAACCCGAGGTCTTCGTGTTGAAGAATTTCCCTATGTCTTTGATCGAACACTTGCAATAAGTTAGTATCGAATATAAATGAAAAAAGGAGAGAGTCATACATTAGCAATAGTATCGTTTGAGGAGTGATATGTTCCAATTATTTGGCAGTTGTTCGCCATTCATCGTGCCAAGCCTGTAAGATCCCTTTCCGATGACACCGAGGACCTGATATGGCCCTTCCCAATTTGGGCTGAGTTTCCTCTCGTTTGGATCTCGAGTGTTGAGGGTGAGTTTCCTCGTAACTAAGTCCCCTATTTCGAAGTGTCGAAGATTGGCTCTTCAATTATAGTATCTTTCTATTTGCTGTTTCTAGACGACCATTCGGACGAGGGCGACTTCCTATTTTTCGTCTAACAATTCGAGGCTTGTGTTCATAGCCTCGTGATTTCATTCTTCCATTGTGTATCAAAACCTGACGCTTGGTTCTCCGACTTCGACCGGTATCAGGGCCTCGACTCCATATACTAAGGAGAACGGCGTTGCCCCTGTACTGGAGTCGTTGTCCGATATGCCCAAAGCACTTCGGGCAAAATTTCTCTCCATTTTCCCTTAGCGCCGGTCAACCTCTTCTTTAGGTTTTGAATAATGGTTTTGTTCATTGATTCGGCCTGTCCGTTCCCACTAGGATGATACAGCGTCGATAATATCCTTTTTTATTTTGTGATTTTTGAGGAACTTTTTTATTTTGCTGCCGATAAATTGCTTTCCACTGTCACACACTATCTCAGCGGGTACCCCGAAGCGGCATATGATGTGATCTTAGATGAAGTCTGTAACTTCTTTCTCGAAAGCTTGTGCTTCAACCCATTTAGAGAAATAATCAATCATAAATAAAATGAATTTAGCTTTACATGGGGTAGATGGCAGAGGACCAACGATGTCCATCCCCCATTTCATGAATGGCCACGGGGATATGACTGAATGAAGTTGCTCTCCGGGTTGGTGGATTATCGGCGCATGCCTTTGGCATTTGCCATATTTTCGGACGAACTCTGATCGCGGCCATCTCAACACTACACAATGGTAGTAAGAGTGGGTAGCAATAACTAATACCCGAATAGTGGATCGGGGTCGAATTTCCACGGGGAGCTTGGAATGGAGTTGTATTGCCGGTTTAGTTTAGAATTGCGTTTGTACTTCTAATTGCACTCCTAACATTTTTGAGGGTTTTTATATTTAAAACTACTTTTGTAACCTAAGAATTAAAGCTAAATTATGCTAAGGAAATATTGCTAAGTTGTGCTTGATATGGGAAAAAGGCACTAGGGTTGTGACACTACCTAGGTGGCTAGCTAACGGGTAGAAGCTACTAAGGAGAGATTGATAAATCTGGGTTTAGTGCTATAGCCGTTACACAAGTGCACTCATTCTTACACCTCTCGGTAGAGAGAACGATTTTGCCCAATTGACTCTCTCGAGACCAATTAGGTAGGCCAATTAGACCGGGCAACTAGGGCTCAAGTAGGGTAATTACTCTTTCGAGGTTTAACCCGTTAATTGGAACTACCATTCTCATGGGTCCATCCCAATTCCTTGTTGGGTTAACTTTTAGGGTCATATGACTCTCTCTCTCTCAAGAAGAGTTAGACCCGCTAAGCTTGAATTCATGTTTGCAACCACAAATTCTAGATTGAAACACAAAATCAACCCAAATAACAAATACCCAATCTCAATCTCACCCTAGAATGCAACACCCATTATACTACCCACACTAGGGTTGAGCCACAACCCTAGCTAATGGGTTTAGCTAGACATAATTAAAGAAGAAACAGTAGAAATAGATGATGAAATGAACATAATAATTGATTACTACTTAAAATCTATGATATTCAAGAGTAAAATTGCCAAATTAGGCTACAAAGTACTTCTCACGAGCGCAACTCTCGTTTAGTAGTTAAAATTTGACCTAAAAATGTCAAAAAGATCTATTTATACCGAGCTAGAAAATCTGGACAAAAATGCCCCTGCGGGGTAGGCGCGGACCGCGCATAAAGAGAGCGCGACCGCGTTGGCTCT